TAAAGCAATTCTTGGGAAAAAGAAAATGGGAGGAATCAACCTCCCTAATTCAAACTCTACTACAAGGCAGTAATAATTAAAATAGCATGGTACTGGAACAAAGGTAGAGCTGTAGACCAATGGAACAGGGTAGACCAATGGACATCTCCCCCCAAGCATACGAGCATCCAATCTTCGATAAGGGGGCAAGAAAAGTGAAGTGGAGCAGGGAAAGCCTCTTTAACAAATTGTGCTGGCAAAACTGGACGGCTACATGCAAAAAAATGGGCTCAGATCTCTGCCTAACTCCATGTACAAAAGTCCGTTCTAAGTGGATTAAAGACCTCAACATCAGACCGGAATCCATAAGGTACAATGAGGAAAAAGTTGGCAAAACCCTCATGACATAGAAGCTAATGGTGTCTTCAAAGATGTCACACCGCTGGCCAAGCAAGGGAACACAGAGATAGACAAATGGGACTATCTTAAACTACGAAGCTCCTGCACCTCAAAAGAAACAGTGACCAAAATACAAAGACAGTCTACAGAATGGGAAAGGATATTCGCCAAATACAAAGTACTCGCTGAACTCCACAAGAAGAAAATATCCAACCCCATCAAAAAATGGGGAGATGAAATGAATAGAAACTTTCACAAAGAAGAAATCCGAATGGCTAAAAGGCACATGAGAAAATGCTCCACATCATTAATCATCAGGGAGATGCAGATCAAAACCACAATGAGATATCATTTCACACCACAGAGACTGGCCCATATCCACAAGAACAAAAGCAACCGGTGCTGGCGTGGATGTGGTGAGAAAGGGACACTCCTTCACTATTGGTGGGAATGCCGACTGGTTCAGCCCTTTTGGAAAACAGTATGGACGATTCTCAATAAATTAGAAATTGAGCTCCTATTTGATCCAGCAATACCACTCCTGGGAATATATCCCAGAGAGGCAACAAAGTATAGTCGAAGTGACATCTGCAATTGTCTGTTCATTGCAGCACTCTTTACAATAGCCAGAATCTGGAAAAAACCTGAGTGCCCGAGAACAGATGACTGGTTAAAGAAACTTTGGTACATTTACACAATGGAGTACTATGTAGCTGTTAGAAAAGAAGATGTCATGAAATTTACATACAAGTGGTACTACATGGAAAGTATCATGTTAAGTGAAATGACGAAATGACTCAGAAAGAAAGGGATAGACATAGAAAGGTTGCATTCATCTGGGGAACATAAAGTAACAAAATAGGAAACTAACACCCAAGAATGGCCAAGATTAGTACCAGGAATTTTACGCCATGGCTTGGAGGCCAACCACACATACTAGGGGAAAAGGGAGCTCAGATAGAGAAGGGAACACCAAATAAAAGTGTTCAAAGGATCCTCCCAGGATGGGAGAAGCATGCGGAAAGTAGACTATAGACTAAACATGATTGTCACCCATTGCCTCTTTTGCAAACCACAACACCCAATAAGAGAGAGAGAACAAAAAGGAATGCCCTGCCACAGAGGCAGGGTGGGATGGGGAGTGGGAGGGATACTGGGATCCGTGGTGGTGGGAAATGGGCACTGGTGGAGGGATGGGTAGTTGATCATTGTATAATTGAAACCCAAGCACAAAAATGTGTAAGTCTGCAACTGTACCTCATGATGTCTCACTATTAAAATTTTTTTAATATAAAAAATAAAGTCAGAGATTACTACTACTACTAAAATTTCTATCAGGAAGTTTTTAGGTTTATTGTTTGTTTGTTTTTGGGTAATGCCCGGCAATGCTCAGGATTTACTTCTGTATTTGCACTCAGGGATCAATCCTGGTGGGGGTCAAGTGGTCAAACAGTAAAAGAATAACACTAATAAAGTAGAATGATAGATAGAATTTATACACAGTAATTCTCAACTATACACATATGGCTCCAAAAGGATAGGGGGAGAGGTGGTGGGAGTAGCAGACTTCTTTTAGGGAAGTATTATCACTGACATAGAAGTGGTTTACACATTTCGGTATTATCAACTGTTTAAGTAATGAATGCTGCTGAGAGGGACATGTATGTGGTCACCTTCAGGTCCATGAGAACAACTTCATAAATGGGCCCAACAGCAAATTAATCAAATGCTAAGTCAGCAGACCTCATAAAGGCATTAACCAGGTTTCCCAGTCCATAGAGTGCAAGCATTTAGGCTCTTGCTTTGTATGAAACATACTTGGGTACCGTCTCAGTACTATATATTGTTTCTGAAGCCTAGGACTGATCCCTGAGCACAGAGACAGCAGTAAGCTCCAAGCACCTCTGGAATGTGGCCCCAAAACAAACAATAAAAAATAGGGTTTCTGACTTTAGGAAAGTTAAAAGTACCAATACTGGCATCAGGAAAAACAGAAAGGATTCAACCTATTATACTGGTATAACCTTTCTAATATCATGTTAGAGTTTGTTTGGAGGTTCTAGCAGGGGAGCGCAGCTACTTGTATACCCTCGAACGAAGACCGGTCCGTCTCTATTTGGGGAAGGCCATCCTCTTCGACCGAGCACGCAACTTCGGGAGGGACGCACATGGAGCGGTGAGGGAGGAAGGGGACACCCGCCTTGCCAGCCAGATCAGCTGAATCAACCCTGGCGATCAATGGGGTGACAGATGTCGCAGCCAGATCGCCCTCACATCCATCTAATATCATGTTAGAAATTTAAATAAAAACAAGAAAGAAGTGGTTGGGCAAAAACAGTAAGATGATGACTCAGAAATCAGAATTTGGGGGTATGCTGCTGCCAGCAAGTCAATCTGTACTTGTGAGGCAAGTGCATAAGCAGCCTGATGGTGCCTTCAGACATCCAGATACCCCAAAATTGCTGCTGTGCCTTTGCCCAGACCCCAAAAACTTGGGGCCAAGTTTACCAAGAAAGTAAATGGCCTTGGGGGCTGGAGTGATAGCACAGCGGGTAGGGTGTTTGCCTTGCATGCAGCCCGACCCGGGTTCAATTCCCAGAATCCCATATGGTCCCCTGAGCACGGCCAAGAGTAATTCCTGAGTGCATGAATCAGGAGTAACCCCTGTGCATCACTGGGTGTGACCCAAAAAGCAAAAAGCAAAAAAAAAAAAAAATCACGAAAATAAATGGCCAAAAGTTAGGTATGTGGGAGACACACCCACAAAGCACCTCTGGCTCAGCTATATAATTGGAGGCAAGGCCTCTCTGGGTTCCTGATAGAACTGCTTAATGGTCATGATCCCAGAGACTCAAGACAAACCTCAGAACCCAGCGGCTTTGGGCAGAGATGCATCCAGTCCCTGCAATGGGTTACTGGCAGCGGACCACCCCAGGGGGGAAAGGGCTTTGCCATGTGGGCGCGATACTCTTGGTAGCTTGCCAGGCTCTCCGAGAGTGACGGAGGAATCGAACCTGAGTCGGCCCGGGTTAGCTGCGTGCAAGGCAAGCGTCCTACCCACTGTGCTATTGCTCCAGCCAGCCAAATCAATCGCTGAATAAATAGCAATACTCCTATATTAAAAAAAAAGAAACCAGAATTTATAAATTGTAAAATTGTAAACTGCTGTCACACTTTGGAGACCAGGAATTACATTTTGGGGTGTGGACTAGTTCACATCTGATAGTGCTGAGGGAACCATCTGTGGTGCTGGTGATCCAAGGGGAGTGTGCAAGACAGAAGCCTTTCCCTTGCACTCCCTCTGCTGCCCTGGAATTACTTTGAAGGTCTGTGTCTGAACACTTACAGATTAGAGCACATCTATCGGGAGCTTCAAATACAGAAATGTGGATTTTACCCTAGGCAGAAAGAATGAAACAATGATTTCTGAAGAAGAGTAGTTCTGTGATTAAAGTGATACTATTTGGAAGATTAAACTTAAGGTTCCAAGTAGGCTGAACTAAGGGACTTAAAAGTCCCAGAAATCAATAATGAAAAATAAATTGCTTGACAAAATTAACCAACAAAAATCCTAAGAAAGATCAGATAATTGATAGTCCTACTGGTGATCAGACATAGCATAAGGATAAGGAAGCGGTATATAATATAAATGCATATACTATCTTTGCAGTATGATCATTTAATACAAGTATAACTAATTTGTTAGTAATTCCAAGGGATTGCTTTCCTCTAGTATATGTCTGTTATTTGAGTTTCTTTAGGCATAAAGTAAACCTAAACAACAGGAAAAAATCATAGTTCTGCTATTAATTGAAAAAGAAAAGATAAAAACCTTGGGTTGGGTGTGTGATTCAGTGATAATGTGCATACCTTGCACGCATGTGACCTGGGATTGAACCTCAGACTATGAATGGATGTGTTTTTGTATGCACACACATAAAACCTTACTCAAATTAAAATGTCCAGCAAATATTTTACAAGTAGCACTTTTACAGATTGACAAAACCTCTTATGGAGCAATTTCATCTTGAACTCGGGAACGGTGCCCTTTAACGCGTGGAGGTTTTTCAGGAAAAAAAACCTTTTTGCTTCGTGCTTAAAAAAGACCGGCATTGACGTTTAAGGTCACGTGACAGCGTATCTTCCCGTCCATCACGAAATCTGGAAATGATCGACCAACTAATTTTTGCGGTTGCACTTTGAGGGGTGTGGGGGGGTCACCCCCGGCGGTGCCGGGGCCCACCGCCCGGATCCTGCACGCTCTGCCCGCCAACGGCGGGGTCCGGAGTCCCGGCACCCGCACAGCGCAGTCCCGCGCGAGCCCCCGCGGCGCCCCCGGGCGCAGGTAGGAGCCGAGCCCGGCGCCGGGTGGGCCCCACCCAAACCAACCGCCCGAGGGCCGGCCGACGGCCGCGTCACCGCCGGAGTCAACATCCGCGTTCTCGGGAGCGAGGCGAGCCGGGTCGAGCCCGGACCCCTGGCGCTGCCCGGCGCGACGGCGCGGCCGGACACACGCGCAGCCCGAGTCCCGCCGGCCGGCGACCCCCCGCGGGGCGCGGGCGCCCCCTCCCCACCGCGGGCGTCGGGGCGGGGCCTGCGCGACGGGCGGAGGCCGGGTGTACCTTGGCGAAGACGGTGAGGCTCCCCGCGGGGACCGCGACGCTCATGCGGCCGTGGTACCAGGCCAGTCCGCTGCCTCCCAGCGCCACTCCGGCCACTGCCGCCGCCACGGGGCCGGGCTGCACCGCCGCGCGCAGGCCGGCGGCGAGGCCGCGCCGCACGCTCCCGCCCCAGGCCGCCAGCCGCCTCCGCGCCGCCGCCGCCGCCATTTTTGCGGAAGCGCCCCAGACCCTCGAAGTCTCGCGGGACCGCGAGTGGCGCGCGAGCCACGGCGATCCACCGCACCTTTCACCGGGGAGCCGCGCCCGGCCGGCGCTGATGGGCGACGCTCAGGCGCGGGTGCTGAGGGCGGTGCGTCTTCCGCAGGGGAACGGGGGCTGTGGAAAAGAGGCCGCAGGACTGCAGCCTCCGAGCCCCAGGCCGGACGGAGACCTCCCGTAGACGCTGCACCCTGCTCTGATGGGGAGTGAATAGTCTCGGTTATTAACGCCCGCAGTGCAGTGTTCGGTGGTGCTGGGGAGTCTGGAGAGGTGACACAGTGTGTACAAAGCCATGTATCTGCCCTCGATTGGCATGGGTACCCCCCCCCCCATTTGGTGTGGGGTTGGCCTCCACCATCGCTGCGTTGCCGTGGCGTTCACGGGTTTTGTCCGCGCCCAGGGCCCACCGGGCGGCCTTTCCTTCCACGTCCCTGACGTTTGCCTCCAGTTGATGCCGGCCTCGCTCACTTGGTGATTCTGGTTCGCCTTCTCGTGGCTTTGCGGTATTCCATCCGTTTTCTTTGGAGCACTGTCAGCTCAGGTCTTTTTTTTTTCCCCTTAAATTTTTATTAGTGAAACACCACGAGGTACAGTTGTAGACTTACAAATTTTTGTGCTTGGGTTTCAATTATACAATGATCAAGTACCCATCCCTGCACCGGTGCTCATTCTCCACCACCACGGATCCCAGTATCCCTCCCTCCCCCCACCCACACCCCCATCCCACCCTACCTCTGGCAGGGCATTCCCTTTTGTTCTCTCTTTCCTTTTGAATGCTATGGTTTGCAAAAGAGTAGCAATCTTGTTGGGTCTATAGTCTACTCTCCTCACCATTTCCCATCCTGAGAGGAACCTCCCAACACCCTTTATTTAGTGCTCCCTTCTCTATCTGAGCTGCCTTTCCCCCTAGCGTGTGCGGCTGTCCTCAAAACCATGGAGTAATCCTCCTGTACCTACCTCGGCTATTCTAGGCTGTTAGTCTCCTATTTTGTTACTTTATGTTCCCCAGATGAATGCAATCTATGTCTGTCCCTTTCTTTCTGACTTTTACCGGTCTTTTCAGGGCCGAAGCAATTTGAATGGGTAAGGCGTTTTTGTTTTGCATTCTTTGTTCAGCCCCCCCAGAAGGACCCCAAGGCCTGCCTGCAGTGATCCCTGAGTGCAGAGCCAGTAGTAAGCCCCGAGCACCGCCAGGTGTGGCCAAAATCCCCCAAGTTTTAAAGTTTGTCAAAAAGAAGTTGCTTTCTTTTTTCAGTTGTTCTGACAGTCAGGTACAGCACTGTAGTAGCACTGTCCTCCGGTTCGGTTCATCTATTTGCTGTAGCTTGTGGCCATTATTTTTTTGGGGGAGTGTGCACACCTGCTGGCTCTGTGCTCAGGTCTCTGAGTTATCTTTTCAGGCTGGTCATGGCCATTCAAGTAGTGTGTATTTATTTATTTAATTTTTATTTTTATTAGTGAAACACCATGAGGTACAGTTGTAGACTTACAAATTTTTGTGCTTGGGTTTCAGTTATACGATGATCGAGTACCCATCCCTCCACCAGTGCGCATTCTCCATCACCAATCATCCCAGTATCCCTCCCCCCACCCCACTCCCCACCCCATCCCGCCTCTGTGGCAGGGCATTCCCTTTTGTTCTCTCTCTCCTTTTGGGTGCTGAGGTTTGCAAAAGAGGCATTGAGTGACAATCCTGTTCGGTCTATAGTCTACTTTCAGTGTAGTGTGTATTTTGATCTATGAAGAAGGGATAGCTTTTTGTTGTTGTTTTTGTATCTTCTATTTCTTTTAGTTATGTCATAGTTTCCAGTGTAAAGTTTTTTCCTTTTCTCTTTTGCCCGAGGTTAACAAATAGTTAATGGGGTTATTACTTTAATTTCATTTTCCTCTAACTCCTGTGTATATATAAATAAATTAGATTCATTTGTATTGATTTTGAGTCCTCCACATTACTGAGTTCACCAATTATATAAAGTAGTATTTTTCTCGGCCTTTGACGTTTTCTATGCCTATATTATCACATAAATCTAAAGTAACGATAGTTTCACTTCTTTTCCAATTTGAATTTCTTTTGTAATATTTTCTTGCCCAGTTACTTTGTGAATTTTGAAAATTATATTTCACCATGGGGTCACTAAAGACCTTTTTTGTACTACTTGAGCCTTACGTGTTTTTGTTTTCGTTAATATTAGCATAGGTGCAATATTACATGCTACTTTCCCATCAAATTTGGTGTGCTCCTGGGATGTTCGTATTGTAGAATTTGGAGATGTTGTGCAACCACGTACACATGCTCCAGAAACTCAAGGATTGTAGGACTGGGACCGTTCTCTCCCCATCCCCCTCCTGAGAAGGCCCTGAGCTTTCAATCCAAGGACTGGTGTAGCTGTGACTTTTCCAGCTTGGTATTCTTCCTGGATTAGTTGTGAAATTGGGCCCCATGGTGGAGATTTTGAATCTGGGTATGACTGCTGGAGTTTGGGGAGTTTGGGGATGAGGGCCCAAGAAGATCCCAGAGTTTTCAGCCAGAAAGCTCGTGTACCTGGGAGTTTCCTTGGCGTGGTGTCTCTTCCAAGATTAGTGAAAGCAGTGAAAGCTGGGCTGTTTAAATGGCAGCAGCTGTGGGGTGTGGTTGCAGCTGCTGGGGCTTCAGCAGGGTTGGGGCTTGGCCTGCTCCCCCTCCCAAGGGGCCCCCAATGTTTTCAGCCTGGAAACCCACATACCTGCATGTTTCATAGGCTTCAGGTTTCTTCTGGGATTAGTTGTAAAGTTGTGAAGCTGGACTGTTTACATGGCAGAGGCAGTGGGATGTGGGTCTCTTACCCTGTTTTTCTTAGCAAACTCCTCTAAAGTAATCTGCAGAGTTTTCTCATGTTTTTCTCAGCTTCTAAAGCTATTTTTCTAGGTTCCTTACTAAGCTAGAAGTAAATAAGTAAGATTTATTGTATTATGCTTAGTCATGTGATTAGACCAGGGGGCTGGAATCCTGTATCCACTATAATAATCACTGTGGTTTGGGGAAAATTACTTAATATCTTTGAGATTCAGTTTTCTCAACTATAAACACTCATACTTTGGGGTATGAGATTATGGGAAATATTGTGCAGTGTAAGACAAATTAAAGATAGGTTCACCATGATGTCAAGTTACCTTCAAGATTTGTCTTCCTCAGACCCTGATCACAGCTTGTTTAACGAAACATCCTTGATTCCAGACCACTGGTCTAGACAACATCAGTTTCTTTTTTCCCTGTATTTATCTATTTATTTGTTTTTTATTTATACTTAGCCTGATGTGGTAAGTCTCTTGGCTCAGATCCTGTTTTTTCTAAATTATTGATATCTGGTTTTTCTCTTTATCTTGGTAATTCCAAACTTCTGTGATATGTGCATCACTGTGTGTGGCCCTGGTGGTCCCCAGCACCGCAGTGACAGCCCTTAAGTTCTGGGCTTGAGTTGCATCTCATAGCCTGGTTGAAGCACTAAACTGGCCCAGCTAGACAGAGAATTCTGACATTAGTTGCAGTGGTCTTCCTAAGCACCACTGGAGAACAGCATTCCTGTGCCCCCCCCCCCCCAGGTTAGTATTAATACTAGTGTTAGTGCTAATGTTAGTGTTAGTTTTAGGTAAATATTATTACTAGGTCAGTTCTACCCATTTAATGAAGCCCAGATCCTTTAGTCCTAGCTCAAAACCCCCAATAGGTATAGACTTTCATTCGAGCATTGATCTTTATTTAAAAATGCTTATCTCTCAGTTTAACATTCTTGTAGGTGAGGATGTCTTATTTTTATGTATTTTTTTTGGTGCCTAGGAGATATTCGGTGAATGAATATATAAACATGTGGTTAAAAGATGGCACAAAATAAAATCGTGGGGGCACCTATATTTATTATTTGGCATTAATGTAGAGAAACATTTTTTGATGTCATTTATTTTCTAAGAAAAAACTTAAATTTAAAATTATTTTCATTTGTTGAAAATTGTTGAACCTGCTCTAAAATCTGTGCTTTGCAATTTTGGGGTCTGTGTGTGAGTTGTATGCCCAAGCCTCTGAAAACTCATTGAGATTTAATGTATTCAAACTTCTCTTTTGCAGAGGAAACAAATTCTTTTAATAGCTCCAATCTCTAGCTGACTAACCATTCTAAGTATGAAATCTGCCCTGGCAGCTGCTGACATTTGTCTCAGCACATTGACTGCATTGGTCTTTTTAGACTCCAGCTTTGTTCATTTCTTTAATACCAGCTGTAGAGAAAGTCCTTGACTGGGATGTATTTTCAAAACTATGTAGTTTATAAACCAATCCCTAAATAAGGAGCAGCTTCTAAAGCTATAAGAACCAAGCTGCCTTAAATGGTATTTTGAGAACAACACAATAGACACAACACTATTTTCAGAATATCATTCTTTATTCACTTATTCCATATTCTTTTTTTTCCCCTGTGGGAAGAACAAAAGTTAGCTGGCATAAAAACTACTCTCAAGGGACTTAATTTTTACTGGAACTGCTAAGCCTGGATTTCAAAGACAATTTAAGATGGTGTTGAACTATTTCCTAAAGCTGAAACAGCCAGAAAGTATCTAGACAAGAGGGAAACTCTGTCTAGAAGTGGGAAGGTGAGGAAGCTAGTACAGGTAGAATCTGGCCATTGGAGGAATATAGAATTAAGAGCGTGGGATATGGAGTGTGTTCACGTTGACTTGGGGCAAACTGACCGTGAATTGCATGGGGATACAGAAGCCTTACAACAGTTTTCCATCACCAGTGAACAGTGCTCAGCCCTCTTGCAGTTGTCTTTGAGCAAATCCTGTCTGCAATCTGGCATCTTCTTACACTTTGCCTGACCTCTGCACCTCAGATGCCTCACACCAGTGGCTGTCCTCTAGATTTTATTGTGTCCTTTTAAAAAAAAAACAAAACAACACAATACCCTTGGCTTTCACTCACTCCCCACT